TTACCTAGACAGACTCTGCAGGGAAGGGGTGTCTGGAAAAGCCGGATGAGGCTGCTCCAAGACGTATGCGGACTGCTGGAATACCAACTGGGAGTTTTGGAGTGGTTCGTCGTTCTGGGAACTGAATGCATCTCGTTCTGAAGCTAGGGGCTTCAGGTCCTGACTGAGTTCTTTCGCCTGCTTCTTTGGCATTCGCCTCGACTTTCGCTTCCAAGTGCGGCGCATCTTTGGTCCCGTTGCGGGCTTTCTGTTCTTTCCACTGGCGTCGAGGATGGGGAAAACGCCGCCGTGCCGCCTCCTCATGTGTCCGTACATGTTATCTTTCCTGTTGGCACGAAAACCGCAAACGGGGCACGCATAGGGCTTCTCGCCGGTGTGAATCCTTCGGTGCAGGGCGACACGCCACCGCATCCTGAAGCCCTTGCCGCAAATGTCACACGTGTGGGGCCTCTCGCCAGTGTGGTTCATGTAGTGGACCTGGAGGTAATATTTCTTGGAGAAACACGAGAGACATACTTTGCAAATAAAAGGCTTCGGCACGATCGTTCTCTTGCGACGTGGAGTTCCCTTTTTGTCTTATGCATGTCTGATAACGCTAGCACCTTGGCGAACATGTTGGGGCGGGCTCTCTCTTTGCCTTCGGACATAAGATGCGTGACGAAGCCATGCAAGCGGCCTGCGGTCAAGAGGAGTCCAGATTCTAATAAATCTACGCGACGTCGACGGCAAACTGAACAAAACATATCGAGTGGCTCAACTCTTTAGAAACACACACAACCAGAAACACAAACGAGAGAGAGGAGATGAGAAGAGATGACGATACCTGCAGAGAGAGAGCAGACGAGAAAGAGACGACGGATGAGAGGGAAGAGGAGAGAGAGGAGAGGGAGGATGAGAGAGAGGAGAGGAGAGAGAGAGAGAGAGAGAGAGAAGAGGGATGGGAGGGAGAGGGAGGGAGGAGAGGAGGGAGAGAGAGAGGGAGGGAGGGAGGGGAGTGAGATGAGAGACGAGAGAGAGAGAGAGAGAGAGAGAAGAAGAGATGAGAGAGGAGAGCAGAAGAGAGAGAGAGAGAGAGAGGAAGAGAGAGAGAGAGAAGAGAGAGAGAGAGAGAGAGAGGGAGAGAGGAGAAGAGAGCCACGCACGCACATTAAACGAGAGATAGATTGATAAGTAGATAGATAGATAGACAGCGGCAGATAGATTAGGGGAGGGAGAAATGAAAGAGAAAACACACGCACACACAACACACCAGCTCCACACCACATACCATTATTTAAATCTGTAGTCCCTGTGCTGTTTGTAAATATGTGAGTGTGTGTGTGTTGCTCGAGGTGTTTAATCTGTATTGTTGTGAAAAAGAGGAGGATAAAGAGAAAGAGATAGAGAGAGCGAGAGCTGTGACGAGCGAGAGCGAGAGCGAGACGAGATAGAGAGAGAGAGACGATGAGAGAGAAGAGAAGAGAGAGAGGATGAGAAAAGAGAGAGAGAGGATCAGGAGAAGAGAGAGAGAGAGAAGACCCAGTGAGAGAGAGCGAGACAGAGAGAGCAGGAGACAGACAGAGAGAGACAGACAGACAGAGACAAAGAAGGAAAGACATGAGAGAGACAGACAGACAGACAGACAGGAAGAGAGAAGACGAAGAGAGAGAAGAGAGAGCAGAGAACGAGCAGAGTACGAAGCAGAGAGATTGGGGAGAGAGGGGAGAGGAGAGAGAGAGAGGGAGAGAAGGAGAGACAGGAGAGGAGAGGTGAGAGGAGAGAGAGGGAGAAGAGAGAGACGAGAGAGAGAGAGGATGAGAGAGAGAGAGAGAGAGAGAGAGAGAGGAAGAAGAAGAGAGAGGAGAGAGAGAGAGAAGAGAGAGAGAGAGAGAGGAGAGAGAGAGAGCCACCACGCACATAAAACGAGATAGATTGATAAGTAGATGGATAGATAGACACGCAGATAGATTAGGGGAGGGAGAATGAAAGAGAAAACACGCACACACAAACACACACACATACATATATCTGTGTGTGTGTGTAAATATGTGAGTGTGTGTGTGTGCTGTGTTAATCTGTATGTTGTGTGAAAAAAGAGGAGTAGAAAAAAAGAATAGAGATAGAGAAGAGCTGAGAGCGAGAGCTGGAGGAGAGGGAGAGGAGAGAGAGGAGAGAGAGAGAAGGGAGAAGAGTGAGAGAGAGAGAGAGAGAGAGAGAAGAGAGAAGAGAGAGAGAGAGAGAGAGAGAGAGAGGAGAGAGAGAGAGAGAGAGAGAGAAGAGAGAGACAGACAGAAAGCAGACAGACAGACAGAGAAAGACAGAGAGAGAAGACAGGACCAGACAGACAGACGAAGAGAAGAGAGAGATCGAGAGATAGAAGAGAGAGAGAAGAGAGAGAGAGAGAGAGAGAGAGAGAGAGAGAGAGATGAGAGAGAGAGAAGAGACGAGAGAGAGACAGAGAGGGAGCGGAGGAGAGTATTCAATGAGAGAAGAGAGAAAGAGAGGAGAGAGAGAGACAGGAAGAGAGAGGAGAGAGAGGAGAGAGAGAGAGAGAGAGAGAGGAGAGAGAGAGAGATGAAGGAGAAGAGAGAGAGAGAGAGAGAGAGAGAGAGAGAGAGGCCTACATATCTTTATCATAAGCAAATTAAATGATTTCTGATTGACGTGCGGCATTGAATCAAAATTACTTTGCGTGTGTGTAAACTCTTAATAATCAGTCCTTCAAGTCAAACAACGCCTTTTTATTTCTTCCCTCTCACCTGTCAGGTATTTTTCAACCTCGTATCGCAACGCTGTAAGTATAATTTATTTCAAATAAAAAAGACGCAGAGCGCGAATCTCAAAATTGACACGCACAGACAGTGCCCCAACCGGCCCACGCACCCACCGAGAAAAAAGACGAACGGCAGACGGCCGGACACCCGAGAAAAGAGACCACCCACGGCTGGACCCACAGCAGTAAGATATAACCCGACATAAACAACAAACTCCACGCCTCCGCGCGCCTGCCCGCACCCCGGCCCCGCCGTGCGCGCCGCCCCGCACTGCGCCCCACCGACCCCACATGCAGTGCTCCACTCAGAGCCACGGCCACCGAAAAGCACAGCCTGGGGCAACCGACGGACCGCACGACCAGCAGAGAACAAAGGAGTATCGACGCTCGCTGTTGGCGAAGATTGATGAGAAAGAAAGAAGTGAAGAAGAAGAAAGAAAAAAAGAACACACGCCCCCCGTAGGCACACGACGCAGACGCACGGACACCACCCACGCCCCCGCACACCAGTGAGAGCCAGGACGCACAAGACGGCAAGAGGACAGCAGTCGAGGGAGAGGCCCCGAGGAGAGAGAAAGGATCGTGAGAAGAGAGAGAAAAAAGGTGATAAGTAGAGACAGCGATGAAAAAGGAGAGAATAGGCCATAGATCAAGCAGAAGAGAAAAGAGAGAGAGAGGGAAACACACAAGCCCCCAACGCGCCAGTGACCCACCAGATAAGACGAAAGGAAGAAGAGAGACAGGAACGATGCAGAAACAGGCAAAAAGACACAGACGAGAGACATGAAGGCAGACGAGAGGACAAGGAAAGAATCACCGGAGACAAAGACGAAGAGAAGGGAATGGCGACAAACGCACAAGAGACACAGTAGAAGAAGAAGAAAAGAAAAGAAATAAGAAGAAAAAAGAGAGAGAGTGAAAAGAGTGAAGAAGAGAAAGAGAAAGAGAAGGAATGTAAAACGAGAGAAGAACAGAAGAGCAAAAGAGAGAGAGAAATAAAAGAAACGTAGGAAAGAAGACGAAAGAGAAGAGACGAGAGAGAGAAAGAAGTATAGGAGACGAGAAGGAAGAAGAGAAGAGGAAAAAGGAGTAAAGATGGAAGAAGAGAGAAAGGAGAGAAAGGAAGAAAAGAAATAATAAAAGGAAAAACGAGAGGAAAGAAAAAAGCCGAAAGAGAGGAAGAGGAAACATGAGAAGAAGTAAAAAGAAAAGATAATAGAAAGAAGGAGGGAAGAGAATAAAAGAAAAAAAAATGAAAAAAAGGGACACAAACCCCAACAACACAAAACACAAAACCACCCAGGCACACAGAAAACAAACAGAAGAAGAGGAGAGAGAAACAGAGAGAGACGCGGAAGGAAGGAGAGACAAGAAATGCCGGGAGAGATTCAGGGAGAAAGATATGAGAGAAGAAAGAAGAGTGAATGAGTAGTTGAGAGTGGAGAGAGAGAGAGAAATAATACGAAAGAACGACGCGAACAACGGAATGAGACGAGGCGGGAGAGGACGAAGACAACGTGAGGACCCGTCGAGTAGAGAGACAAGAGAGAGAGCAAGTATAGACGATAAGAGCAAAAGAGGAGACGATGAGGAAAGAAGAGATGAGCAGCCCGAAGAGAGGATGCTAGATGAGAGTGATGATGAGAGAAGAGAGATGACATAAACATATATAACAAAATAAATATACGTACTATAAATAATATAATATATATATATATGTACACCAACACACCACACTACACTATATACTATAATATAATAATAATAATATATATAATATAATATAGTATGTATATTATATATAACCATACTTCTCCATCCTACCTGCTACTACTCATCATGTTATATATATATATATATATATTATATATTTATAATATAGTATATATATATCCACTATATATATATATAGATGCATTACATACATGTATACATAAATCATTACAACACACAACAACACGACACACACACACACACACCAACACACACACCACACACACACACCCCACACACACATGTATAATGCATGTGTCTAAATATATATATACGACACAAAACACACACACACACACACACACACACACACACACACACACAACACACACACACACACACATATACCACTACTTATAAATATATACTATATATTATATACCTAACACTCAACATATGAATAATACCATTATACTCACACTAATAATATATCTAATCTACATATACGATATAAATATACCATAGTATAGACCTATATAAAATATATATACATATAATATATATATAGTATATATATATAGTATTATATAGGTGATAACAGCTATAGCATATATATATATATATATATATATATAGCTATATAATATATATATATATACAGTATAGTATGTTTCGTATGGTGTAGTGTGCCGAAAATATATATAGACCTTTTCTTTTGATTTGGCTTTTAAAATATACACACAACACACACACACACGACACACACAAAACCACACACACCATACACACAACACACACACATGCCACACACACACACACACATTATCAAACATACTAATACCGTAGGGTATATATATATATAACTATATATATATATATATATATATATATATTACATTGCAAATACAATCCACCTCTATCCATCCCATTCCATTCATCCAACATCACATACACACACACAACACACATACACAGTTACCTCCACATTAACAATAACAATAAACATACACCGTGACACATACATAACATACACATACATACAATAAAACATACATACATACATACAATAATATACTATATATATATATAATACCTATATAAATATATATACTATATATACCTAGTACATATATATATGTACAATACATATACTTCCCATCCAATCATCCATCCAATCCATACACACAATAAGATATTAAATAAATAAATAAATGAAATAAAGACCATAAAATATAAAATAAATAAACGTATTACATCCCACAATATATACCTATATAT